GCTTATATTTACGGTATTTTATATTTATATCGAAATATCTTATTATATACTATTTAGCTGCACCGAACTAATTGTTAGAAATTAGCTTTAACCCGTATCCCTTTCAGAGGTTCTGTATAGAGGTTCGTTACACAACCTCCTGCTAAAAAGGATATACTATTTATTACTAATTTTATTTTAACGTCCTTATATAAATCGCCCTTTCTTATATATTACTAGCCGTACTTATACCGCATAACCTTACATAAATCGTAGTAACGTGTATAATAAGTGAGTGCCGTAGATAAGCGAGCGCCGTAAATAAGCGAGCGCTATACTTTTCGACGCGACCTAACCCTTTACCTTTAATATTCCATTTTTAAACTTATTAATGTGTGGGTACTACTAAGTGCCCTACTTACTGCCCTACAGATTGATATTATAGTGGGCAGTACTGCTATAAGCAGTAATGGAACTTCCCGGCTTAGATCCCTTTAGAATATTCTTTACAAGGGACCCTTGAAAGGCTTATAGGGCTACTGTAGCCTGAGGCTTAGTCAATGGATACTAGAACCTTCCAAAGTGGCTATAGGCTTACGTAGTAAGTTGCTATAATAGTGTGATTTACAGGGCACCTCTGCTACCGAAGGTTCTATGGATTTCCGTGAGTCTATACTAGACCCACCTGAGCCTACCAAATACCCCAAAGTAGTATAGGGGCTTCCAGGGCCTACAGGACCCACAGTAGGCCTACGAAGGCCTATATATAGACCTCTCTTCTCTTCTGTAGAATAGTTCTCTTTCTTTCCTCAAAGGCAAAAGCTTAAGGCTAAAGCCAAAGGCCAAGGCCAAGGGTAATAAAGGCAATTCTTATTCCTTATACCTCACTATATTACAGTGCTTTACCTTCCTTCGGCACTGCCGTCGTATCCTCCCGCTTCCGCTTGCGCACTGCTGTATTTTACAGCAACCCTATATAAGTTCTATATTATAGGCCTATCAGGGCTCACCAGCTAACAAAACTAAAAACTATATTTTTTACCTTTAACGAAGCTAAAGTAATTTTAGCCGCTAAAGCTATAAAAAATAATAAAAACCTAAATAAACAAGCCGCAGTAAAGATCTATCAAATTAACGATAGAACTATTTGCCGTCGACTTACTAGTATATTTATATAACGTAATATTTTAATTAATTTACATAAATTTACGGATCTAAAAAAAAAAATTTATTTAATATATAATTAAGTTATTTATATACGTATTTTATTACTGGCTTTTATATATTAAAAATATAGTTAATCGATTATTATATAAATGCGACGCGCCTCTTATTAACGTACGATAGGCTTATAATTTCGTTAAACGTTAATTAAAACTTCGAATACGTTTTATATATAAATATAATTATTAAAGGGCTAAATATAAAAATCTAAAGATTATTAATAAGTAATTTACTTTTATATAGAATATTAAAATAAAGTATAATATTATAAATAATAATATTTATAACTTTAATGAAATTAAGTTTATAATAAATATTATTATTATTATTATAATTATTATAATTTTTAATAGCCGTAGTAAGGTTAAATAGGTTTAGTTTAATAATCGTAAGTAAGCTACGGTTATTTAAAACGTAAATAATTTTAAATTAAATTATTTTATTATTTATTATTTTAATTAAAT